ACACACACACACTCACACTCACTCACTCACTCACTCACTCACTCACTCACTCACTCACTCACACACACACACACACACACACACAATGTGGGTGGTTGGCGCGTGCTCTTGTGTGCTCCTTCTTACATATCAAACAATTTCGTACTGGTCTCTCCTCCTTTTTGTGTTTACTACTCTCTTGTAAGACCTCTAATCTTCTGCACTTACATATTTTGATCTAATTGTGTTGCAAGTGCAGCCAAACGCTCGCTTGAACTAAACACACACGCACACACGCACGCACGTACTTTTATATGTACATGTATTATAATATGTGTTCAGAGGCTAAGGCAGAAAGACGCGACGCCAATGCCCCCAATGTAACCACAAGCAAAGGAGCTAACAGTGCATCGAGTCGTATGAAAATGTAAAAAAACAAAACAAAAACAAACAAACAAACAAACAAAAAAAACGGTCAATAGTTTGTGAATAGCTATAGATGTTTATTCATAGCTGAATCCCTTTGCTGTGGGCAACCATCAGACGCTGTGCAATGTGGGCCTACTCGTCTCATCTTGGGCTCTCCAAACACTTTTCGAATATCTCAATGTTCTTTTTTATGCCGATAAAACGGATGAACTAATGTGTCGTATGTACAGTCTCACGCTTTTATCTCCCATAGCTCGTGGCTAAGCATTTCATGATGAAGGAATTGGTTTTGCAATAAATTTTCAGCTTCAACCATAAAAAAACAAGCTGTGCTGGGGGCTCTTGTGCTGGTCTAGGGGTTATGGTGCTTGCCTCTCATTCAATAGGTCCGGGGTTCGAATCCGGGCAGGGACGGAAAATTGTCTTCTCCAAAAAAATTCTCCTTTGACCTCTTTTCCTGCCTCTGAGGTCCCATGTGCAAGTTACGCACGTTAAAGATCCATTGGTGGTCTTAAAATCGATAAAAGTAGGCTCCGGTCGCCACCTGGGCAAAATCAAATTTCCTACCAACTGGAAAATGTTAAATGTGTCCTGCACGCTCATATATAACATAATGCTGTTGCGAGCACCGTAAAACACTCATGAAGAAAAAGTCGTGCTGTGAAAAAACGTGAAAACGACCAATTTGAGTTCGGCGCACTCATGTTTTGACCTTTTGCTGTTACGATCGCCGTAAAAACTTTAACCAACACACATGATAATCACGCGTACTGTAATGTACCCTGTTAGTTGTCTGAAAAGTATCTGGCCGTTTATGCTGATACTAGATAACGGCGGAGTATTGGGACTCTTGGTTTTCATGCGGTCGGGGGGGGGGGGGGGGGGGGGGGGGGGGGGCGGAGAGGGGGGTGGTGAGTGTCAAATTATTTTCGTGGGAAGGCTGCCATGAGAACTTCGGACATTGACCGCTGAGCTGACTGTTTGAATGGCGTTCTCATTATAGGCTATTTTACAGGTCACAGTTACACAATGTCACGGTCCTTTGGGAATTGGAACTTAAACTCGGCTGTCCCCATTTCTCTTAAATAACCAAGTATTGAAAGGGCTGTTAAACCTATACAGTTTTACCTTTTTGTTGTTGTTGAGAATTTCAGCGCTGTGACTTAGTGCCATGGATGGCTTCAGTTGCTAAAACTAATTCGAGGGTATGATAGACTACTGTAACTAGAGATTATAATTTGTTTCTTTGGTAGATGTGTGGTAGCTGGTCACAGGGTGCGCTCTGCATCAGAACTGTCAGTCAAAGTGGGTCCTGCATGTTGCCAAAACCTGGTGTTGTCGACTCCGCTTGCGTTCAACTCGCTCGAGTTGATATTCGGTATCTCGGGTCCCAGCACCTCTTTTTCTTAACAGGTCCCAACGGATAAGTTGGACTTGGGATGAGTTAATCATTGTTTTTTCTACTCCCCCGACGACACCAACTCTTCCGTAGTCGACTGTACGTTTTGGGGGGAGGGGGGGGGGTGTCCTAGTTGTTGAGCCGTTTGTTTTGATCTCACGAAAAGTCACAATTTTGAAATACGACTGTTTAGCCACTGCGCCCTCAAAGGATAATTACATGTAAATACTCGTAGATTGCACAGCGTATAATTCTATAGCGGAAATGCGCTCTACAATAAATTCTATTTATTTTTATAATGATTCTTTGGCCCGTGTTGCTCTGTACTGAAACGGAAAAGGCGGCCGGTGGTTTTTGTTTGGGGGTTTTTCTCGTTCTTCGAGACCAGCACCTGTTGCAATTGGGTTTCCGGTTTGGATGTATGTCTTTGTTGTCTTTGAGTAAGATTTGGCTTAGCCTAAAGTTGATGATTTATTCCTGGCATGTATATCATATGCCTTACTGCGTTTACTCCACTATGTTAATATAGTGCGCGCGCGGGCGCGCGCACACACACACACACATACACACACACACACACACACACACACACACACACACACATACACACACACACACATACACACACACACAGAGAGAGAGAGAGAGAGAGAGAAAGAGAGAGAGAGAGAGAGAGAGAGAGAGAAAAGACGTCTCTAATGTATAAACAGAGAGAGAGAGAGAGAGAGAGAGAAAGAAAGAGAGAGAGAGAAAAGACGTCTCTAATGTATAAACAGAGAGAGAGAGAGAGAGAGAAAAGACGTCTCTAATGTATAAACAGAGAGAGAGAGAGAGAGAGAGAGAAAGAAAGAGAGAGAGAGAAAAGACGTCTCTAATGTATAAACAGAGAGAGAGAGAGAGAGAGAGAGAAAGAAAGAGAGAGAGAGAAAAGACGTCTCTAATGTATAAACAGAGAGAGAGAGAGAGAGGGGGGGGGGGTAGTTATAATACCAAGTAAGCCCGCTGTAGACGTTCTGTTGTTATTTGTTCATGATACATGTATTATTATTACGGTACTCGTTTCTTTTCCTCACATTGTGTGTGTGTGTGTGTATCATTATCTCTGCGCATTTGCGCTCTTGGATCCAAACAAACCCTCCACTTGTGACCGAAATCTAGTTCTACTGACCTTGAAATGTGATAAATAAACAATCTAGCCTATCATCTGCGTCGCGGGGTGGCTTCGTTATCGTGACATAAGACGTATTACGTCTGTCTAGCGGGGCTCCGTGTTTGTGAAGGGGCAGGTTAGAATGTTCTATTCCAAATGTGCGCGCGCATGATTTCAGTGAGGGTAGTGTTAAATTTAAATACACCACGACTGCCTCGGGCGGTTGATGGGTGGTTTGGTGCGGTTGGCGCCCTCCTTTTCTTGTCAGTGTTTGCTTTCTTCTGTTTTGTTCCGTCTTCTTTTCAATGTTTGTATTTTTCTGTTCTCTGTTCTTTTTTTCAGTGTTTATATTACTATTCTACTTTGTTCCATCATCTTCTTTTCAGCCTTTGTATTCCTTTGTTTTGTCCCTTCGCATTTCTTATCTCTGATGCTAGTGCCTTTCTGTTTTGTTCTTACCTCTTCCTTTCGGTGTTCGTATTCCTTTGTTTTGTCCCTTCGTCTTTCTTTTCTCTGATGCTAGATCTAGTGCCTTTCTGTTTTGTTCTTACCTCTTCTTTTCAATGTTTGTGTTCTTTTGGCGTGTTCTTTCTTCTTCTTTTCAGTGTTTGTATCCTTCTGTGCTGTTCCTTCCTTTTATTTTTTCTTCTTTTTGGGGTTTGCATTCTTCTTTGGGATTATTTCCATCATCTTTTTTCAGTGTTTTTTCTTCCCTTTCCTTTCAATTTTTCCGTCCCTTATGCAGTCGCAAACTCTGCTAAACGTTTAACAAACTACACTAAATCTTCTTCCTTCTTCTTCTTTCAGTGACTATAATTAATATACTTCTGATCTGTTCCGCACTTAGTTGGCTGTCATTGTGCACAATTTAAAATTAGCGCGCAACAGTATGGAGGCAGCGTGGTGGAATCAGGCTCTCGTCAGTATTTGGGCATGTTGAGTTATTAGTATCATCTTAAAGCTTGTTCACTCGTCTTTACTTGGATGAAAATAATATCCATTTATCTTAAACAAAAGTCGAGATATTTGCGAATGAGGGAGGTGGGGGTCACCTGTTTTCAGAGGTGAAATTAGTGAGAAAATGGCCGCCAAAGATTAGTTATTTCCTTAGTATAAGAGTCCGAGGTAACTGAAAATTTTCATTTTTTGTGTCTTTAATCAACGTTTTTCACAAAAATCCACACAGAAATTAGATCTAGTTCTTAACTGGACAGGAAAGGTGTTGAGCCAAAAAACAAAACTTTGATAAAAATTCACAAACCTGCGAAAAAATGCAAGTTTCTTCACTTTGATTATTTTGACGAGAGCCTGATTCCACCACGCTGCCTCACAATTATTATTAGGTTCCGATGTACCGATATTCTAATATATCGCATATGCATTCACACATCAGCCTATATCATTTGTTCCATGTATCCATATATCCGGAACGCTGGGCAAAACAACTCTGTTATTGTCGTTTTACGGGCTTGTATACTGTTCTACAACACGATAACAGCTGGGATAGTTCCGGGTCAACAACAAGCGTGTCCTGGTTTTGGTGATTTTTGTATTTATTAATGCATTCATTCGTTCGTTCGTTCGTTCGTTCGTTTATTTATTTATTCATTTATTCATTTATTTATTTGTTTATTTATTTGTTTGTTTATTTATTTATAGTAGTAAGTTTGAAACATACCCTAAAGGCAGTAAAGACTGGAATGGTTCACGTCAACAACGAAAAGGATATCCTGCTTTTTTTTGCCATTCTGTCTCGAAGTGCTCCCTATTATGTTCTCCTAACTAGAGGTTCTAGATAGGATCTTGTTCGTAATAAACTGCTTAG